TGAAAGGGAATATTAATGTTAGTAGTGAAAGTCAAGGCATTTTATAGCTCTTAGTTAAACTATGAAATAGTTGACGTTGCCTTATTAATAAATAGACGCGAGTGAGGCAAATTTCGCTAAATTAGAAAAAAGGCACTTTTTTGGACATTTTGAACAACACTACTTTAAAAAGATTTCTGCTCTGTTTCAAGTTTTTTTTATACATTTTTTGAGAGCTCAATCTCTAATTAACTAATTAATTATTTACATACCTAGTAATGCCAAACTCTTTAGCACCAGGGATGTTTGGGTAACGAGGCCTTAGTCCAGTGGCTAGAACAAACTTGTCAGCTGTCATTACCAGTTCCTTGCCTTTTTTATCTGTTGTCTACAAAACAGAAAATCATAAAATCAAATCAAATGAAATTGTTCATTCAGTTCATACAGTATAAAAATATATCAAATCTAAGAATATATCTAATGGCAAAATCTGGATTTGTGCTGAATATGGGAAGCCTATTACCTTGATAGTGTGATTATCAATGAATACACCATAAGCATTCTTGTATGTGACTTTTTTGTCTCTAAGCTGAACTCTATATCCCCAATTTAGTGAGCCAATATGATTCTACAAAATGCAATTTTTAGTGATGTACACAAAATATTATAATAACCTCTTTTTGTTCACGTTAACTAACCTGCACACCTTCTCTTAGCGTCTCCCATTGGTGCTCAACTGAAATGAAGAGAAAATCAAGAAATATTCTATTTGCAATTGAACTGAAAGACAAAAGAGTTCATGTAAAAATTACGTGAGCTGAATATAGGCAGAGCTTTAAGTTTTTCAAGCAATTTTTGCCAATGCCTTAGAATATTTTCAGCATTTTATCTTAACAATCAGACATATACGGTGTTAAATTTATCTCTTTACACAACTGTTTCTTTAGAGACACCGACACAGCTCAAACTAGTTTACCGCTAGTTCCCACCATATAAAATATATTATATAGTACAGCCTTTTGCAAAAATTATGAGAATTGTTGAAATATCTAAATATCATAATATCTATATCCATATATTGTCTGGAACACGAGGGTTTGCTAGAATAATTCATTGTTGACATCGAGAAAATGTTCAGAACTACGGATAAGTCTGTCGCCAAAAAAAAACTAAACTACAAAGACAAGGGACTATGGGCATCGCGCGGGATTACCCATCATGCACTCGATATTATGATATTTAGATATTTCGACAATTCTCATAATTTTTGCAAAAGGCTGTATATAGTGATCAATAGCAATTACATTATATCAATGATATAAATACACAGTCACGTACCTTTATCGCCATAGTCCCATCCATAATGCTTAGCATCTTCTAAAGCTTGGCCTAATGTAATATTGTAAAATCGGTTTTAAGTTTTTTGTTTGTTTATTATAGTTTGCTGTGCCATGATTAATATTAGTAACCTTGCAGCAACAGATGAATGATGCGGTGAATGATTGCTTTTAGCTGTGTTGAAAAATGACAAAATGCTTTCCTATTAAAGTTCTTGATTGAACGGAGCTGCTGGTGCAGTCAATCTGACACCATGAAAACCCCTTTCCAATGACCAATAGAATAACCAAAAATGCATTATGCTCTCGGAATACACTATATTTAGTATTCAACTTTTTCTGAAATAGTTTGTACATTATCGTAAGTTTCTTTCAGATGTTTTTTTGCTTTGGTATAAGTCACACTTGCACAAAGCATATTGTAGGAACAGTGAAGGTTTCAAGTTTTATCACCTTACCAAGTAGTGCCGCTTGATGCATAAGTTTCTTGGGGATACAACCAACATTAACACAAGTTCCTCCAAGACCTGCAAGTAAAACAATCATTTCAGTTCAAACAGTAGGAAAATGGAAATGAATGGATGGAAATTGGTGGAAATGGCTTTTCTTCACATTGAAGTCAGTCGGGAGAATTCATATTAATATATATATATATTTTGGAAGTATACTGTTAATCCTAGTTGCTCATTCATTCAATAATGGATAAAGTGGAAAAGTAGAAGGATGGATGAATGAGCTAATAGAACCAGATGCATGGATATAAAAAACAAAACAAAAAATGTTAAAATGTTTTCGTACGTAGGAAACAAAACCCTAGTATTTAAAACAAAAAATATTTATTGGTATTCATTCAATATTTTATTATAAAAATGTTATGCTTACCCCAAGCTGTTCCTATTGGAGTTGGTTTAACAAAGTCCAGAACTGCAACTTTTCTTCCTAAATTAGCAGCTTCCTATAACAAAGAAAGGAAAATCAAATGAATTGCTGACAGTATCTAACATATTATAGCTGCCCTCCAAGGATTTGACTAGCACAACTGAAATGTCAACTTGATAACACAGGAAACCCAACCTAATAACACAGGGAACCCAACTAAAAACACAGGGATCCCAACCTAATAACACAAGGAACCCAACTAAAAACACAGGGATCCCAACCTAATAACACAGGGAACCCAACCTAATAACACAGGGAACCCATACCTTTGCACAAGACAGTCCACCAGATCCACCACCCACCACAATYAAATCATAATCATAGTTCGCTGARGGTGGGTTAATCAATGGCAATAGTTTCTTTCCTTCATAAAGCAGATGTACATTATCAGATCCTCCAATRTGCTTGCCTTGGATGAAGACATTTGGCACAGTCTTTTGTCCAGTTACCTCTAGTAAATTTTCTTGAATGGCTTGCCCATCATCTAGAAATAGAGGGCAAATTCATTGTGTGAGTTATATACATAAATCCACCTAATGAAATGATAAAAGGATGAAGTAACAAACTTAAGCATTTATGTCTTCACTTTTTCATTATAAAAATCAAGAGTATAGTTGTCTTCAAAAAATTATACAACTGGACTTACCTCTTAAATCAAGTTCAAGGGCATGATAGTTGACATTCATTGATTCAAAGAGCCCCTTCACCTAAATAAAGTCAAAGAGCAGGGTACATTGTATAAAATTATATAAAATAATTTGATAAGTTGTAGAATAACTGGAAGTGGTTTGTATTAAGTTGAGTTTCAATTGAAAGTATTTAATAAGATAAATGAAGGAAACTGATATTCACATTTTAAAGATCAAAGATTTAAGTGATAGTTATGTAATTACTGTACATTATTACTTCATAATTTTATGCATTACTGCCAGCTGTGTTCCACCGAGCATGTTTTGCTTCTGATTTGCAATTTGAATAGAACTTTATTTTGTTTTTTAGTCAATGAGCAGAGCCTCATTTTATCTTGAACTGCGCAGGTTAAAGAATGGTAATTTGTAGAAGACACAGCCAAAACAGAATTGTGGTTCAATTTCCTAGAATATGCAACAGCTGGAAAACTGCAGTTCATTTAAGAGCTGCATAAAGCTTCTTAATTAGATTGAAATAAATCTATACAGATTTTTTCAAAATGCCTCATTCAAAAATCTGGATAAACCTTTTATTTACAGTTAATCCCATCTTATTGTAAAGAAAAATTAAGATGAAAAATTATTTTTAGATATCACAATTTAGTGTTAACATGCAATAATATTTATATGTAAACAGTATGGAATTTMAACATATTATTTGAAGTTGGGAGGATTCATAATTAAAAACATACATTTTGACACTGAGGATGGTCATCGTCTTGACYGAAACGTCTGAATCACCATCGTTTTTAACATTAAAAGCTAGTGTCAAAAATAATGTTTTTCATTATAATGCTGCGATGTTAAGATGACATTGCTTGACATGYGATTCTCATCAGATTTGATGTTAGATTCAGTATCTTGTTGATCACTCTATGKGGGCGGGAAATGTAATGTGTTAATGAAATAAAATCATCTGTTAAAGTCTTTTTTGCAGCTAAATAATGTAACGCCGACATAATAATGGTGTCATACTGTTTGGTTCAGGGGATGATGTTACATAAGAGATATAGTTAKGCAACAAACAAAAGATAAAAAGTCAATGTACATGTATTGTACCTATTATGATTTATACAATATTTCAGTGCTTAATCAAACTGCATGAAATTTAAATTTCCAATCAGGAATACATTATCTGAGTTTTATGTGAATTTCCCTTTTTTCATTAAATTCTAAAGACTTAAATAAATAATCCATACAATTATTAATTATTTAAGAAAATAAATATCATTTTAGAAAATAATATTTTAATATTTTCATGAAATAATAGGCTTRCAAATGCATTTAATTGTGACTATCAAGTCAGTCGAAATTATATGTTAAGCACGGAGTTAAAAAAATAGCTCTTGTAAATAAATTGTACAATGATCAAATATATGACTAGAAAATTAATTTAGATCTTACGTAAAAATGCCAAACATAAATTGCAAGCTACGCACCAACACCCTAAAATTATGCTATCTTCGAGACTTACTTTTTTGCAGAAAGGACAATAGGACTTCGAGAAAATCATAACTGGATGGTTTTTGATGTTCTCTTGAACGATGGCTTTTATATCCGCCATGTTGTTGTCCAAATCYTTCGGAGAAGACGGCCTTCTTCGCTTCAGGTTGGAAATTATAATACCAATGGCTGATCAAAAATGATAAAACACTTATTTTCAACTAGTTTTATGCAGTTTTAAGATAGCGATTTCGAGAAAAGAAAGATCTCAGGGATAAAATAGCGATCACAAGCCTCTAGCTCTTTTGATGGCGACAAGTCACAAAAACCAATTAAGCCGGCAGTAATTATCATCTAAATAGATCATTCACTTGACAACAAGGCCTGTCGCAATGACGTGATGCCACTTGCATCTTACCTTATTATAAAATTAATGTTGAAGAAACTTTTTTTCCGCTGTTATTTAGAGCGGAAATCCCTGTGCACATGTGACAATSTGGAATAATCCGTAGCGGGAAATTAAATATGGGCCMGCGCTCCATGAATCAGCGGAATTTTTTGATGAGTCATWTGCTAAYGAGGTAAAGTTTRAAGGGAACGGACTGGAGTCGGRATAGCACGGATTACTATCATCTTTACAAGTCTTACAATAGTGGCGGGTTAGCATTTTTTGTAGAGTACAAACACTAAAACTGTGCAACATAAACACCACTAAATACTGCTAAATTATGCTAATTCTATTGTTTTCTATTGTTTAATTATAACRCTATTTTGTAGTAAATACAGTGGGAAGTGTTGCACACGTTTAGTGTTTGTACTTCAATTTTTCATTGTTTTAATGTTTGTGTATTTAGTAAAGGAGAGTCGGAAACGGCTAATTTCTAAATTGTCGCAAATGTTGCTAATTCACTTATTGGGAACACAATGGGTTTAAAGAACGCTTTGTTTTCAGATATTTTTTAAAAGGCTTTTGTTCTCTCTTTTTAGCACCTCTATTGTTCTTTTCTCTTACACACCTCTTACTTTAAATGTTCTTGACCGAGAACTGCTTTTTTTCCTGTTATCCTTACCCACTCCCTCAGTCTCCAGCTATCGTCTGTATATTCAAGTCTAATAGGCGTRGCTGGTCCTTCCCTGTGCAGAGGTKTAGGTATWACAGCGCTCGATGAAGATGCCGTTTGAGATGCTTCATCGGTGGGTATTCCAGGATGTTTGCATTTCTAATGAATGGAGAGCAACATCGTTGGACGGCGGAAAACCAAAAACCCCACGGACAAATCTACGGAATTCAGCAGTGCGAAATCCGTAATAAAGAGGACTTTAAAGAGGGTTAAAATGAACACATAGGCTTACCCATGGAAGAATAGCAAAGTACAAAGGTCCTCTGATATCAGGGGAGTATAATTAGTTTCAAGTAAAGTGCTGATACAAACTCAAAACCAAAACCCACAACAAGATACGTAGCTGTGATACACGATTTGCGGTTTGCCATATGCTTGCCCAAGGTGTATGCCTTAKGAACATTTTGCTGTTGTGCAAGAATGGCCTGCTGGTGTGGTTTCAACATTTGAAATATCTCTAGTACTCGAATAAAATGCAAAAAAACCMACAGTTACAAGAATGGGTACAGTAACGAAGAGGATGCTTCGTGTTGAAGACGTTTGTATTATCACATAAATAAGAGATCTGAATCAACCAATTGGCTRCGGCTGCGTAAAGTAGTTTTGATACAGTGATGCGGTATGGGTAGTGGAGGGGATCGGCGAAGCAATRTTTAACTCTTGCTAATAATGTATTCTAATCAAGACATAATCAGTGGTRTTTTAAACCATGTTATATCTTGCACCTGTCAAGGGATCCGATATTGTTTCTATAGTTAGGCAATAAAGGTTGAAGAAATTCTGYTCAAATCTTCTTCTTGTAAATGTATTTTACAACAGGAGGAATCATACCTTATTCATTTTCTTTTTTTAAATATATATAGTATATTTTCTGATATTAAAACTGACTCGGTGTATATCTCGTTCAGTGGTGCGTATGTACCTGGCGTATRTAGACTTCTGAACCTTTTACRTCACTACTTGATTTTCAAKRSA